TACCTGAAGTTACCTGGAAAACAGAATTTATGTATATGGAAATACTGACATTTCAAAAATTGTTTTATTCCAAATCAAAATGGACAGCTGAAATTTTAATATTTTCCACACAATGGAAATTGCCCCCACTTTTTGTTTTTCTAAAACTTTGTAGCAATCCATTTCAAGAATGGTGAATGATTTTGTTTTCATAATGCCAAAGTAATATATACTTGTTATATATAATGTTAAATATTACATACCACAATTCTTCTATTTTAAAAATGTCAAAACAAAATTAAATGAAAATTAATCAAAATTTAATGATTAATCAAAATTTAATGATTTTGCCTTATTGTTTAGAACAGTAATGCTCAACTTTTTCTCCCCGGCAGGCTGGATGAGCAACGCCCAGTTCATCCATGGGCCAGATCTGGCTGCTGGCGCCAATACAGCACCTGGGGCGGGTGCAGTAGGCTCCATGGGGGTTGGGGGGAGGGAGGGGAGTGGCCCAGCTCCAACCTCCTGTGCAAGGCTTGGAGTTCAGGAATTTGACAGGGAGGAGGGTGGCTGTATTAATGGCCACTGCCCCCCACTGCCAATTTTCCTGACCTGTGGAGAGCCCGGCAGGCCAGATGTAGTGGCTCCGTTGGGCTGTGGGCCAGAGATTGAACACCCTTGGTTTAGAATATTACTGAAAAAAAAACCCACTGTAATTTCAAATCAGTTTAATTTTCTACTGAAATTCTTTCAACTTTCTCTTTAACCCTGACTGGCACATCCTTGTCTGATTCTCAAGGCTGATGCATTCCAATGGCAGAAGCAGCTATGCATGGGTGCAAATATTGTTAAAACACCAGGCTCTTAATAGTTGACTTTTATCCACCTTTGAACTAGCTCCCTTACCTATAAGTAGACACTGAAAATATGGATTGGAGGCACGTGTTTTTGAGTCAAAATAAATGAGTCTTCAACTGATGTAGTCACTCTTAGACATTATACTTTCAACTAGGGAAGTGCACCCTGAAAGTCATGCATCAGCATTCTCATTTATGCAGATTCACCCTTTTCTACATCCTTTACCTCATGCAATATTTACACAGGCTTACCTTATTTCATGATAGATCAAGCCCTAAATATTGAGTATTCATGACCTGAAGAGCTAGCCAGACTAAAGTTCCATCTAGCTCATTATCTTGTCTTCAACAGTGGCAACAAGCAGTTGCTTTCATAGTTTCATACTTTCTAGGGTTGGAAGGGACCTG